AGACTAAGTGAGAGACGGTTCTATAGGGGAACCCAGCACTGGTTTGTCACATTTTAGCTCTTCGGTTTAATTTGGACATTAGAAACACAAAACAGGAAGTGCCTTATAAGGTCATGCTGCATCATATTCGGGTCAGGACTTTGACTAGGCCAATCCCCTGACTATTCAGCTCTTTTAAAAGCTGACCAACCAGTGTTCTGGAAATTTGTCCTCCTGAACAACACAATGGCAGGAATTCCTGGTCACTTCTTCAGTTTAGGACCTGAGTCCACTGTGGAAATCTTCCTGAGCTGGACAGCTAGTGTCCTAAAAAGCCACATATTTCAGAACCGTGAGGACGATTCTGATGGATCCAACCAGAGACGTAGTTTAGAAAAAGTTTAACAGGAATGTTTGGAATGTTGACACGGTTTAGATCCTCTGTAGATTCTGACAATGTCCCATCCTTCGTCCCCAGGATCAAGCTAAAGATTCCCCATGATGTAGCGGGGGGGATCGCCGCTCTGCGGGCCGGGCTGGAGGCTCTGGTGGTGGAGGTCACCAAAGACCCAGAATACATCAACCAGATGGACCAAACCAACGAGAGGCTGCTGAACGTCATCAGACAGGTGTCCAAACCGTCGGCGGCCGGAATCAACCTGATGGCTGCAAACCAGAGGTACCAGAGAGGGCGCCGGTTCTATTCCCACAATCTGACCCGCGTGTGGACGACGGTTTAACATCTGCTGTCTGTGTCTCTGCAGGATGGGAGACGGACCACGGCCTCCAAAGATGGCGCGCTTTGATGGAGAAGGAGGGTACCGTGGAGGAAGAGGAGGTTACAGAGGAGGAGGGGGAGGATACGGAGGAGGAGGTGGGGGATACGGAGGGTACCGTGGAGGAGGGGGATACAGAGGGGGAGGTTATGGAGGAGGAGGAGGCTACAGGGGGGGAGGAGGAGGCGGCTACAGGGGAGGTTATGGAGGAGGAGGAGGATACAGGGGGGGAGGATATGGAGGTGGAGGTTATAGAGGTGGAGGAGGTGGAGGAGGGTACAGAGGAGGAGGATATTAAACAGAGTGGGACCTCCAGTTTAACTGCAGATCTTTGTTAATTATTTAGCTTGATCCTCATCAGGAGGACAGCAGATCTTCATTCCTCTGGTTTGTTCGTTTTTAGTCGAGTTATTCATGTGAAGTTTAGAAAAATCTGACCTGCTTTTCCTGTTTCTTGTGATTTGGAATCTGAAAAATAAAACAATAAAATGTTTGATGTCCTGAAAGCTCTGACTGGAAATTATTTTAACTAAAGATGAGGTCGGTTATGCAGTAGATGTTTTAACGGTTCCATCATCTGGTCTTTAATGATCTGTGTGTCTCTGGACCTCAGAGCTCCTCTATCAGTCACTCATTGATCAGGTGATTAGCTCAGTGTTCAGACCCACAATCTGCTGATATGATGGAGGCTCCCAGTCTGATCCTCTAATCTGGAGGCGCTGAATGTTGCTGAGATCTGAGGTCCATCAAGGTTATGAAGAGGGCCAGAGGCAGAGAGCAGCAACCTGGGAGTCCAACATGAACCAGAATACGGTTGGTTTATACTCGCTGCGTTGAACAGGATGCAAGAGTGCGCACTAAAGTGATGCAATCCCTGCACACGCCGCCTGGGCACTAGGTCCCTCACCTCTGAATTTATTGTAACTTGCAGCCTTGTTCCAAATGGGAGGATATAAAGTGCTGACTTTAAGTGGAACAGCGTNGTTAAATGCAGTGTTGCTACTGTTCATTCAGTGACTGAAAACAACTACCCACATTATACAATCCATTCAGCTTTTATTTAGTAAACAACCTTTTTAATTTTTTTTTTTAAGGTTCGGGCAGGCTTGTTTCCACATCGACATGCGCCTCTGTTAAACCTACTATTTTATTCCACCGTATATTTCTGTGTAGCTCCCATAAACACACCTAATATTGTTCAGTAATCGTACATTCTTAAATCAACAATACTGTGCTCGGCCATGTTGGAAATAGGATGTCAACAATTTTTTTTTTTTTTTTCCTGCATTGCTGCTTGTTATGTTGATCACTGCCCCTCTGATTTTTACAAGTACTGCACCTACATCAACTATAAACACATACAGTGCCTCTTTCTGGTCCTGCACGGTGCGACAACCCAACGCGTGAGTATATCTCTGTCTTTTAATGTCAGTGATGCGATCTAAACCCCTGCTCCGCTTGTACGGGATGTGCCCATAGTAAAAGGCCCCAGACTCCGTACTCCTGTAGCATAGCTTCCACGGCACCATGAAGGATGCCTTCTTCAGGTCCACAAAACACACGTAAACTAGTTGGGCAAACTCCCAGGCACCAGTGTAGAGCTGGTCCACTGTTCTATGACCGGGATGAAAATTGTACCCCTACTGAAACCGAGGTGCAACAATCAGCTGGACTCTCCTCTCAAGCACCTTGGCATAGGCCCCTGCCGTGGAGGCTGAGGAGTGTAAGGCCCCTATAGTTGGAACACCTCCTCTGGTCCCCCATTTATGCAGAGGAACACCAACCCGTCTGCCAATTTAGGGGTGCTATCCCCGACCTCCACGCAATGTTAAAGAGGTGTGTCATCCTTGCCACTCTGGAGTTCGTGGCCACCTCAGTGACTTTGGCCTCCATGATGAATGAATTTGGCCTTGAGCATCCCATCTCTTTTTCCACTACAGACAGCATGTCAGTCTGATTGAGGAGATCCTCAAAGTATTCCTTCCCTGCCCAAAAATGTCCTCTTTAAGGTTCAGCAGTTTCCCTTTCCCACTGAAAACTGTGTTAACAAGTAACATCTTTCCCCTCTTAAGGACCTAACTAGTTTGCAAGAATCACTTTGAGACCAACCGATAGTCTTTCTGCATGGCCTTTCCAAACTCCTTCCATGCCTGAGTGTTTGCTTCTGCAACTGCCTAGGCAGCAGCAAGCTTGGCCTCACAGTAGGCTACCAGTAACTCAGACATTTTCGATAGGACTCCTTCAGCTTGATAGCATCCCTCTCTTACAGTATCCACCACAGGGTCTGGGGATTGCTGCCATGACAGGCACCACAGACTTTAAGGTCACAGCTATGGGTTGCCACGTCTACAATAGAGGCAGAGAACATGGTCCACTCAGACTCCATGTCTCCAGCCTCCCCAGAATCTAGGAGAAGCTCTCCTTGAGGTGGGAGCTGAACATGTCGCTTGCTGAGGAATTCTCCTGATGTTTCCAGCAGAATGTTACTACCTGTTTGGGCTGGTAGTTGATGGAAAGATCTGCCCATCTCTTCACCCAAGTGTCAAGACATGGGGCTGGCGTTGAATTCCCCCAGCAGAATGATAGAGCTGAACTGGGGGAGACGAGCAGACCCATTCCTGTCCTCCAGAGCAGAGCCCAGTGTGGCAGCGAGCCCAAATCTTTCTAGCTGTTATCACTCCACTTCGTGCACAAGCTTAGGCGAGGTGACATTCACGTCCACGTTGGTTCGTGTCTGCCTCTGATCGCCTCTGCACCAGGCCATCATGGTTCCTCATGCAGGTGGTGAACCCACTGGGGGCTGGCCTCATGTCATTCCTTTAGCCTAAACCCGGCTGGGTCCTGTGAGGAAGAACCAGACCAACTCCTGCTCACCGACGAACCCCAGGCCTGGTTCCAGGGTGGGGTTCCCCCATCACTGTTTCTTCATAAAGGCTCTTTGAACCGTTCTTTGTGGGACCCATCACACAGAGGCTTTTTCCTGGAAAACTGTACCATCAGCATTTCACCCCCCAGCCAATTCCCATAAATTACATCTTCAACCAGGAGAACACTGATTAGGGTCAAAATCTGACCTGTTTCACACTCAGTTGGTCTAAATATGGATCAGAACCACAATAGATGGAAATGTGTTGTGGTATAATATCTGTCTTTTAATCTTTGAAACTGTTTGGGTTCATTTGATTCTACATTTCAGCCAAAAGCTGCAGTGATAAACTGATATGCATCAGGTCCAGTACATGGGTCTGGAAGGAAAAGGTGGACTGACCCAGAGAACTGTCAATTGGTTCTGGAAACATGGACTGGAGGTCAGGAATCTTATAGCCAACTTTTATTACAGCACATCTGATTGCTCGTTATCTCATGACCAAAGTTCTAGTCAATGGATCGGTTCTAATAAGACCTGAAGTGATGATGAAGAAACTCTCCTCTTGATCTTGAATAAAAAACTGAAGCAAGACTGTAAACATTTATTTGTTGAAATCCAGATTTAGTTTGCATCTATACTATGAAGGAAGTTGAATCTGAAAGCGAATTAAGTCGAGGAACGATCTGCTGGTTCCTTCTGATGCCCGGATTGTTTCAGCAGATTTTTCTTTGTGTTTTTTGTTTAAACATTTTTCTTTGGAGTTTTAAATCCTAATGGACCTATTGAAAGAGGCTGCTTTTATGAATAATTAAAACATGGTTTTAGATTTTATTACTTTCGTCCTGCAAACATGTCTGGAAGCGTCCAACAGAACCTGATCTTCATCTGTTCCAATTCTGGTTTCTAAACCTTCCCTGTGAGGAAATGAGTCTCAGGTCCTCCATCATCCAAAGGGAACAACAGCTTTGAAACCAATGTTGAAGAAAAACTTTATGATAAATGGAAAATGAATAAACCCAAAAAATACTAGGTTTTATTTGATTAAAAATGTTCAACATCAGTTCATTGAACAACAGGAAGTGTGATCAACCTGAGATTTTTACACAACACCAACAGAGAACCTACACATGGACAAGGAGAAAAGGCAGGGATTCAAACCCAGAACCTTTGTACTGTCTGGTACCAGTGTTCTGTCAGACCAGCATACCCATGGTCAATACGCATGCGACAGGTGTGCGTTTATCCATTTAATTTTCTACAAAAAATAGATTTTAAACTACCTCGACGGGTGTGTTTTCCTTTAGTCACAAAAAATAAAACAAAAAACAATTTAAGGCCAGATCGCCATATGCTTCAAAAAACACAAAAAAGTAAGTCATTAAATAGTTGTTTTGTACAGGACTAAAGGGATACACACCCGTCAGGGTAGGTTAAAGTTTATTTTTCGTAGAAAATTAAAGGGATAAACGGGGATTGACTATGCATTTGCTCATCTGACAGAACAGCAGATCTGTTCCCCTTCATACAGTAATGATCTGAAGTATTCATACTCCTGGTGAACTCACCTTTATTTTCAAAGGTATTTTGTGCAAAAGAACAAACATTTCTCTGTTTTCTGTTATCAAATGTGATTTTTGCTTCTGTCTATAATCACTGTTAAAATCTTCATCATCATCATCACAGCTGTCAGCTTCCTGCTGGTCTCTGATGTTTGGATGATGAACTGCTCACCTCTTTACCATCACCCTCATTTAAACCAATAAGAAAACAGAATTATAAATGTAAAAAAAGTAAATAGAACAAATTATTTATGAACAATTGATCAATATGTGGGAATAAAAACATAACTCATTATTATTTAAACTCTTAAAGAGTGACGTGTTTATCCAGGGGCTCTGTCCCCCTTGCAGGTCCCAGGATCCAGCAGAACCTTCCCCGGTACCAGCTTTATGTTGATCCGCCTCTGATCGGGGAGCTAAGGGGAAGATTTTCTTGTTTTTTTTTCCTCCCAGTTTGGAAGCAGCAGTACCTTTCTCTTAGATCCAAACTGGGAGCTGACTGAGAGGCGAGCTGGTGGTTGTTTGCGCAGTGATTGCGGGTGCGCAGCGGCTGTGCGGTGATTTGGTGACTGTGGAGGAAGAGGCGGACTCTCCCCCGCAGCCAGTGCGCCTCAGAGCTGCGCAGTAGCGGACTGGGTGTAGTCTGGACTCCCGTCTTTTCCTGCTGGAGTTCTGGGTGCATGGCGGCGGACACAAAGAGCTGAGAGCGACCTCAGAGACCCAGAGAGCAGCAGAGAGCCGGAGCAGAGCCGCGGAGCCTGGAGCGAGCCGCCCTCTTGTTTTCCAGGATCCTCAGGTCCAGGATTGTTTCTGAAGGGAACTGACCGGGAGAAAGTTTGGGAAAGTTTGGGAGGAGCTCTGATGGGAGTTCTGGGAGCGACGGGGAGGACGGAGCGGAGCGGCAGGATGCAGAACCTGGTCCTGGTTCTGGTGGCTTGGAGCTGGGTGGCCGCGGTGTGCGTCCGCGGCGCCATGGATGAGTGCGCGGATGATCAGGGCCGAGCGCAGCGCTGCATGCCGGAGTTCGTGAACGCGGCCTTCAACGTGACGGTGGAGGCGACCAACACCTGCGGCTCCCCGCCGGAGGAGTACTGCGTCCAGACCGGGGCCACCGGGGTCACCAAGTCCTGCCACATCTGCGACGCGCGGGACCCCCGGAACCACCACAACGCGGTGTACCTGACCGACTACAACAACCAGCAGGACGCCACCTGGTGGCAGAGCCAGACCATGCTGGCGGGGATCCAGTACCCCAACTCCATCAACCTCACCCTGCACCTCGGTAAGAGCCCCGGCTGAGGGGCCCCAAAACAACACCAACACACATTCTGCTCCTCTGCGCTCATCTTCCATAGTTACTTTCTGAGCTGCTCAGAGGCTGAAGCTCAGAGGCTGAAGCTGCTGGTCAGAGGCTGAAACTGCTGGTCAGAGGCTGAAACTGCTGGTCAGAGGCTGAAACTGCTGGTCAGAGGCTGAAGCTGCTGGTCAGAGGCTGAAACTGTTGGTCAGAGGCTGAAACTGCTGGTCAGAGGCTGAAACTGTTGGTCAGAGGCTGAAACTGTTGTTCAGAGGCTGAAGCTGCTGGTCAGAGGCTGAAACTGTTGGTCAGGGGCTGAAACTGTTGGTCAGAGGCTGAAACTGTTGGTCAGGGGCTGAAACTGTTGGTCAGGGGCTGAAGCTGCCGGTCAGAGGCTGAA